GTGGATATCGCAGACCCGCGATTTGCTGATTTGAGGGTCAAATTGGTGCCGGGTGGTCAAATCGATAATTCATCTGATCGAGCGCTAACAGAACGCTTTATAAAGACGGCGCAGCAGCGAGCCAAGCAACTCCTTTTTCGATTCTCTCTCTTTTTTGCGAATCTTGCGATACCTCTTCCCCTCGAGCGATTTGACGATCATGCGAACATGCGAAATTATTCTCAACTTTAATCTCATGATTTTACGGTTTATTAAAGCGGTTCTATATTTATCTGGGACGGTAGCAAAGTACCCTTAACTCGCAATCAGAAGTAACGATCGGAGATTCTAAGCAAAGAATAAAGAATGGAGAGTGCGATCCAGCCCAGATCAAGCAAGAGCTTCCTACTTTAGATTTCAGACGACAAAATATCAGGAAACGAATAAATAAGAAAAAAAAGGTTGCAAAAGTACCTGAAGATTATGGATCGCAGCTGCATTCTTTGATTCCTAACAGGTTGAGCTGGTCAGAGAAGAAAAAAGAGCACGGGATTGAAGAGGCGCAGTCACCACGTCTGACACGTATGACCCTCCAGTAAAAAGTCCTTCGGAGTACTTTTTACTCGTGGGTCAACGTGGCGTCTGCGCCTCCTCGACCTCACACTATTTCTTTTCTCTGCCTAATTACGAATTAGGTTTACAAGTTAACTCTCTAACTACTAATTAAAATGGTTTTTTTGGTTATGATCTAACTGTAGGTTAAACAAGACTTAATGTGTTGAGAAGCGCTCTGAACCTGTTATCTAAACTGACTTTAGTCTGAGCTAATCTCGACACGTTAAGTCTGAATTAATGAAGGTTTGCTACCTTGATCTGGTATTTGATTAGTGTTTGTTACTAACCCTATTTGAAGTGCTGTTAGTCAATTTTGTTAGGTTGTTGTTAGTACCACTTACCTCTGAAGTGATTTGTTGTAGCATACTAACTACCTCTTTTTGTTATTCTTGTTGTTAAGTGTTTTTAAAGACACTAAACGTTTAATTACCCAAGTTTGAGTTTGAGGCAATCTACAAGTCCCGCGTGGCGCAACACACACCTCACACACACCACACGACATTCTACTACCGATACCAAACCGTTTCAGTGAAACTCACCATAAGTACGTCTGCTTTCTCCCAACCTCAAAATTCATCAACACCATCTATGCATGAACAATAGCAGACACTTTAGTTCTAGAAGTTTGTTGTTATTTTCTTTGAAGCTCCTCACGAGGTTGGCAAATAACTTTTATTGGGCTTACGTTTCGGCGAGGATCGCCTTCTTCAGAGCCTGAAAGAGTCGAATCAATTTATGACTACCCGATCAAATGTCCCCAGCAGCCCTACTGAAGTTCGAGACCAAAACAACTCATCACGCAATCCAAAGGTGGACCACCTACCGTCAGTATACAGTCCAGTTGTCGAGACCACAAGAACAGCAGTGAGGCGATCCTCGCCGAAACGTAAGCCCAATAAAAGTTGTCACTGTGCAGGAGTTTTCAATAGAAATAAAGCAACAAGCTGCATTGATGTTTCATTCAAAGCCGTACATGGAGAGTTCTAGAAGTGTTGCATTGCTCGACTTTATCATCTGATACTGGTATGTTTGCAGTGGGGTCTGAAGCTTGGCAAAGCGATAATGATTAATGTGAAACACAGGTGCGAATCGACGTGGGTGCTGCTAAAAAGTTGCTTAGGAAGAGCACACCAGTACCAACAACAGCAGCCGTGGCAGTGATCTAACACGAGAAAAAAAATGCAAAATTCAAGCAAGCTGTTTTTGACCACCGTAGTAATCTGGTGTAAGTCTATTAGCAAATCGTCACTTATTGGCAATGACTGCTTGTAGGGTTCCCCCTAACTTCTTGGAATCAAATGTCACGCATCCCAACGATGCCTTTCTCTCCTAATCAGGCGTGTGATGCATAACTTGCAAGGGAACACAAAAATATAGCGCGTTTTATAAGTATGGAAGCGCCTTGAAGTTCTGCACATGCACACGTCCGTAAGAACTAATCAAAGAAGGAGTTCAGTAATAAAAGGCAGCCCATTAGAATCAGGGTGAAGATGACCACTGATATCTGGATGGAAAAGAAGCAATGATAAGCGATCCTGACTTGAGAAATGGGAACCCTTCTTGCTCGCTGACCTAGGACTCTCATTGGTGCTGCCCTCTTCAACGCTAACGCTCTCTCTGCTAACGGCTAGAGACCTGCGGCGAGTGGTTAGCCAGTCGGTGGGCGTACCGCGCCGATAGCGCCGCGGGGGGCCATGCTAGATCGCCGGGGCATATCCTTCGCAGCAAATTGCGTGTCGGTCCGCACCCTTAGGGGATCCGCCTGTCTCTCTTCTAAGTAAGTTTCTCCCTTCTTCGACTTTTGACTGTATTGTGGAATCCTCTGATTGATCACAAAAATACTTGCAAGGGCATTAACGATTCTGAGTAAGAGTTTTTCTGAGTAAGTGTTCTGAGTAGGAGTAAACCGTTCTACCTGTATACCTGTAACGCTTTACTCACCATATTTTTAGTGTAACCTATGCAGTACATCCTATCTACATATCGGAAATGACGCCAACATCTGTAAGATCCTTGTCGTATTCGATTATCAACATACCACAAAGTATAGGAATCATTGTGGCACCATATCTTCGCCATATTGTACGTAGCTGCACTTATCCACTTAGCTTGATAGAACTTTTCAAATATGTAGATTTGCAGAGCCTTGGTCCGGAATACGCGAAATTCGTCGTCGTTGGACTGTTATGCATTATCGCCGGAGTTCTCTGCGTTTTTCTACCCGAAACGAAAGATCGCCCAATGCCCCCGGAAATCAAAAGTCTGACCGCAACAGATGATCATACCGTTGACAACAGAGACAGAGAAGAGCTGCTGAGGTTGGAAATATCGAT